TTTTAGAATTCTACTTAAAAGTAAAATCATGGGGAGGGAGAAGGAAAAAAAAATTGAATCCTAAAATCTGGCAATCAATTAGAATAAGATAAGTAGGCATGTTAGTTTATCAAAATTCAACCTTAGAATACCAACCAGAACAACATTGTTGTACGTGTCTCAATTATGCGGCAATGCATTTTTAAAATTGGGACAAAAGGGATCAATTGTCCTTTCATTTATAGTTATTTATGTGGTGGTCTACAATATCATGTTATTTTCCCACAAATTCTCATTATTTGTTTTTCCATGGTCACTTAAGCTCCCCCATACGAGATAATTTATAAAAAAAATATAAGTTTGTGAAAATTTTTAATAATATATTTGATTTAATATAAAATTTTATTCTCTTTTTAACTGTCGTAAAATTCATCAACTTATAATTTCAAAAAGTTTAAACAAATAGGTTCTTTATATTTGCTCATTGACACACTACAATTTTCAATTTAAAATGTCAATTTCTGTCGTTGAATATAATTAATGACAAAAAGGAATTTTTCATCACATAGTCATAAAAAGGTTGGTTTGTAAATGTATTTGACTACAAAAAGCGCGTTTGTTGTTAAATATTGCCATTTAGCAGAAGAAAATTTGGTTATTGGTATTCTTCAAAAAATTGTTAATTTACATTTATATGACCAAAATGTGGTGATAGATATATTTAGGTATCTAAAAATTTTGTCGTTAAAATCACATCAACAACTAAATATTTTAATAAAATTGACGTCAAAGAAATATAATTGACAATTAATTTTGTGATAGCCAATATACAATTTTGTCATTACAGATACGTACTTGTTCGTCAGAGTATACTTTTGACTATTAAACTTCCTTATTTTGATGTGAAAATGTTATTAAAATTTTGTTTTATCATCAAATTGATACTTTTTAAATGTTATGAAACCCTAAAGGCATCAATGGTCACTAATACAACTAAATTGTATAAAAACTACATGTTCAAACACAAATACTCTACTCATCCTATAAAGATAAGTTTTTTTATTTTTTCGTCTATCCCAAATTAGATGTCATTTTCTTTATTAAGAGTATGATAGATTTCTTATTTTTCTAATGTACCCCCATTTAATGTACATTGTTATCAACAAATATGAACTACTCCTATTTAAATCATTAATTAATATAGTAGTATATTAGAAGAAAATTAAAAAAAATTTCCAATTATATTAATTACTTTTTTTTAATCCGTGTGAAAATGAAATACAAGGTAAGATTGTAATGATAATTTTATCATTCTCAATTACAATTGTACACAAATAAAAGGATATGCAATTCTCAATATATTTTGTGCGGTCATGAAAGACATTATGAACAATCTAAATAGCACTGTGATTTCACAATAAAGAGGAGTGTTGGGTTGCTGAGAAGCACCCGAATCATGTCACAGCCAATGAAGCCAAAGAAGCTCGGAGTTAGTATCAACAAGCCTGAGTGCTGGATTGAGCAACAACAATCTGTTTCTTACTTCATCAGGAGATAAAAATCACCCAGTAAAAAAAATTAGTGGTAGATCATCGATCAATAGAGTCAAATGCCCAATCAACATTAGAGTAAGCTTGTAGATGCAATGATGAATGTGATGAAAAATGAAGCCCGTGGAACAAAGTTCCTTTCATATAGTGAAAACAGTGATATAGTGAATAGAAAGTCGAGTTGACATATACTCCAGCTGAGTGACAATGAGGAGACAACCAACCTACTGACGATAAATATTAGCATCTAAAAGAACCTCCCCATCAGTACTAAGGAGTTTGACGTTGCTCTTAAGAGTGCTATCACCCATCTTACAATCAGTAAGGTCAGCAAGAGAAAGATCTGATGCATACTTAGCTTGGGACAAGTAATAGCCATCAGGGATGGAAGACACCTTAAGCTCGAGAAAGTAACTATGGAAGCAAAGATTCTTCAACTCAAAGAGCTGACTCAAGAATTTCTTAAGCTCAACAATGCCAGAAGTATAATCACCAATAATAATTATGTCATCGGTATAAAGTAACAAAATGGTAATATTAGCATTAGTACATCGAGTAAAAAAAGCAGAATCATAGTGACTAGAAGCAAATCCAAGCTATGAGATAGTGGACCTGAATTTGTCAAACCAAGCACGAGAAGCCTGCTTAAGTCCATACAACGCTTATAGAAGATGACAGACCTTACCAGGAGGATGATGATACCCTAGAGGAGGTTGCATATAGACCTTCTCAGAGCAATCATGATGTAAAAAGCATTTTTCACATCCCACTAAAACAAAGGCTATTACCATGAAAAAGCCTTAGCCAGAAGGGTGCAAACAAATATAATGCTAGCAACGAGGGTAAATGTCTACTCCTAAGTAAAACCCTTGATCACAAGAAGAAATTTTTGCTTCAATTCGGAACCATCAGAGTTAGTTTTCCTCTTATACACGTATTTATTCCCAACTATAGTCTTTTCTGGAGGAAGATCAACCAGATCCTAAGTATGAATCTTGTGGAGAGCATCAAGATCCTTGGACATACTTTGCTATTGAAGATGTTAGGTTTGGTGACTCAAATGTGTTAGAATTATTGTTGATTTAGAATTTGATCAAGTGGGATCCTAGAAATTGGTTAGGAGTCTTTTGAAGACGTGGGTTAGACTTTTACTTGGAAAGGGAATCTAATTGTATCTCTCCTCATTGTAATATTTTTTTTTTATTTTTTATTTTTTTGCCTTTTAGGAATCTTTTAAGGTTGGCCTATAAATACAAGGTTCCTCTGGTCAGTTTGTAGAGATGTAACAGATAAAAGTCAATTGCTAGATTTCTTTGTATTCTCCATAGTATTGATTCAATAAGCATCGTTCCTCAGCGTTAATCCTTTTATTCCTCTTTACAATTTAAATTTTGTTTCATTGTGTGATCTTGTTTACTTCAATACTGTCATTACAATTTCGTTCTCTACAATTGGGTTTGGAATCAACGTGTGTTATTGAAGATTCCAAGTCCAATAGAAGAGGGCCAAAACAAAAAAGAAGAAGGGTGCGTTCAAATTTTAGTTGAGAGTGTTACACAATTAACTATTCTACCCCCACAATTCTTGGTAGAACTTAGCAAATTAATATTCATCCACTCTTTTCAAGTTTGATCAAATTGGTATTTATGTCTATCTACCGGGATAAATAATTTTATCCCACCTCTGATCAATATATAAATGACAAGGAATGTCAATGTCTTGCAAAAGTATATGAACTTCCACATTTAAGGATGTTGCAGCCCCATTTAGCACTGCCACTGACCCAACTTTAATTTGGAGATATTATGGTCAACACATTGACTCAGATTCAATTTGTGAATTGCGTCACATTAGTTGGGTTGCAAAACGAGACGTTGGGAAAAAGACAACACGGGCAAAACAAGAAACTTTTCAACGTGCCGTCTACATATTAGCACTTGAGCCGCACTGGCTAATTGAGGTTTTCCTATTGGTTTACAAAACTTGCATCCGAGTGCAACCATATATAAATAGACAAGCAAGTGAATCATGAATCATTCACCTTGATTTGAAGTTTGAACGTTGACATCCATTCAAAATAATCATATGAATCATTATCTTGTTTAATGCAAATATAAATCCGACTTCTTTTCTCAAAGTCAGTGTTGTTCTTTTCGAAAATCAGATAGTTTTTCAAATTATCTGTTTTGTTGAAACACATAATGAAATTACACACACTTTCATAATTATTGGCATCCACTCAAACTTAGGATTTTTAAACCCATCAATAACTTTTCTCTTCCTTTCAAGTACCAATTCCTTCTCTCAACTTATAAAAATAATAATAAAAATTGAATTTTTTCAATTCTCAGTTGTTCTGAACAAATTTATTCAAGTGATAAATCGCTATTTCCATCACAATAATTCTAATCCCCACAATTCCTCAACAGGAATTTATTCTGCAAGTAAGCATTAAATTATTATAGGTCTAATCTAGAACTACACATCGTTAGGAACCAGGACAGACTGGATTTTATTTGGATCTTTCATGTTAAATCATCGAGAAATATAAGAATTAAAGCGGAAGCATACCTGAATCTGACATGGTTAATGCAATATGAATTTCGCGGTATGATCTTCCAAATCTACACGCAGTCTCCTTTTCCTCTCTGTGATGGGATGCAGTAGAGAATGAATAATTCGTTTCGTTGCGTGTGATCTGGGGACCATAACCTATTTATATGAGGATGCTCTTTGACCTAATTCGGCCCATCATAGAATTAGGACTTGGGCCCGGTCTCTACACATATATAAACCCATACTTTAATTGGATATACTAAAGCCCAAAATTGAAACCTTATTAGATCACTTTAAACGGGCTCAACCGAATTCGATAGCCTATAATTTAACACACAATTATTCACACATACAAGCCCATCTTTAATTAAAAATCCTTACAATCTCCCACTTGGGCTATATGTGTTACCTTATAATTGTGCATTAAAATAACCTTATGAGTACTCAGAATTTTGCTATCATTACCGAATGTATCCCTAAACAATCCCATCCATCAATCATATCAACATAGGATCAAAGCGGCTTTCGCTACTTTCACATAGCTAAACCCATCAATGGTCACGTTTATCAATATAACCGAATGATATGGATCAAGTATGGATGTGTAGCATGAAAATTACATGTAATGTGATCTGTAACATGCCTATTTCCAACTGGTTCACCTTAATACCTTAGTGAGATCATTTTACACAAGTTCAGAGATAATTAACCAAATAACTTTATATCTGAAAATAACTTTAACTTTAAACCGTATCCAAAATAACAGTACATGTGTCCAATATGAAAAGCAAAAATACAAATTCCCACTGAAACTAGATATCCTCAAGAGACATTACACCCATATGAGCAGTGTGCTCATGAAAGACCTTGGGTATCAATCCCTTAGTAAGCGGATCCGCAACCATGGAGTTTGTCCCAATATGCTCTATTGACACCTGTCCACTCTGAACTCTTTCTTTAACAGCAAGGAACTTGATCTCTATGTGTTTTGACTTTGTCGAGCTCCTGTTGTTATAACACGCTATAAACTCCGTTGCCATGGTAGAAGTAACTATGAGTGTCTGCTTAGCACTCTTTCAGGAAATAGTACATCTAGCAAGCACGTAAATATAGCCTAAAGTGGATCTCCTACTATCTTGGCATCCCGCAAAATCAAAATCAAAATAACCAATGATCTCCAATTGATCCGATCTCCTGTATGTGAGAATGTAGTCTTTTGTTCTCTGTAAATACCGCATGACCTGTTTGGCTGCTTTCCAATGATCCATTCCCGGGTTGCTTAAATATCTCCCTAGCATCCCAACGATGTACGCTATATCCGGACGCGTACAAACCTGAGCATACATCAGACTCCCTATAGC